GTAAATCAAGTGAAGTAATTCCTAGGCACTTCGGATACCTGTAGGACGTAAGATTCCCTAAGGTTGTAAAGTCCGACGATAAGGAAGTTACTTACCGCAGTAAAGGAACTTAGATATATTACGTGAAGTAACCAGAGAAGATTATTCCCGGTGACAATGTAAATATAAATTTAAAAAAACACGCAAGTGGTTTTAAAAATAATAATGCTATAAACAAGAAGTTTAATGTTAGTGTTATTTTTAGAAAACTGTGTCATTGTATTCATAGTATTAATATAAAGAAAAATAAGGTATTCATGAAATTAAAAACTCATAATCTGTTTAGATATATAATATTAGTTACAATACAATTATTCATCTTTGATTAGAATAATAATAGCTATCTATTAGAAGTTAAGTAATTTTAAGCATAATCACATTATTAAATGTGCAGAATCATCAAGTTTTTATCATGTTAACAAAAAAGTTTGTGAAAACTTCTTAAATTTAATTAAAGATGAATATTCATTTTCTTCTGCTTTACATACATATGAAAATACATTATATATTAATGTTATAAATAAACAAGAATTATTAGAAATTTTTGTAGATTGAGTAATAAATCCTAGTTATAGTTATATTAACACTCTTTTTTGAAAATATAGAGAGAAAGCACTTAGAAGCCATAATGAAAAATTTATTTTTAAACATCTAGATGTTATTATTAAGAAATATAATAATTCAAGCTATATAAAGATCATATATGACCTTTGTAATAAAAAGTGAAAAAACTATCAGAAAAATAAAAAATAAGTTGATGCTAAATTTGAACATGTTTCAGCCTAAAAATCATATTTAGTATATAAAGTAAAATTGATTTTTCTCAGTAGTTTCCCCCCTTTTTATTGCAAAGGCCTCATATTATAAAAATATGATATACTTGTTAAAAAATCCTTTATCCTTTACATCATAATGAATCTAATCTTATATATTATATATATTAAAAAGTCACTTACGTTATGATTCATATTTTTAGATTATTATTTAGAATAATAAAAAGAGACAGTAGACAATTATAATGATTGGTTTTATATATATTATCATGCCTTATCATATTATAATAATACAGTTATAAATTTGTTGCTTAGGAGTCATCCAAATGAGTTAATGAACTAGTAATTTAAGTTTTATTATGATTATCTATTGTAAATCTTTGTTCTTTTTATTATAAAGCCTTTTAGTAATATTCTTATATCTTTTTCACCTGGTATTGCTTCATAATAAAACCTATAATAACATTATAAAGGTCTGTTTGATATATTCCTATTTTGAACTTTTCTCTGATTATTCTATATTGTACTATTGCATTTACTTTAGCTATTATTGTTAAAACCATATTGCTTGAAGAATTTTCTCTGATAATTTTTGTAATATTAGAACAAATCGACTTGTTAATGGATTAAGTTCATGTCTAATATGCTGATCTTTGAAAATTATTATCTCAAAATAATTTTTTATTTTTTTTAGCCCATACTGTATATTAAGCTTTCATGAACAACCTATCCTATAAAAAGTTAATGCCTTTAACTTGTTAGCATGCTAGCAAAGATAAGTTCTATTTGATAAAATAATTGGATTTTATGATTTTTTTAATATGTGGTATTTATTTGAAATCAAATTTCTTGGGCATTTAAAAGAATGGTTTATAGTTATATTGCTAGTTTTAAGTAACAAACTAACATATTATTCACATGTGCATCACAATCATTATGAAATTTCCTTCACATTATGCATAAGTGATAACATTAAGTTTTGTTTATTTTAAGAAAGCTTGGCATAATTATAGGGATGAAATTAAGATCAAAATAAAATACAAAATAATTTTAAACCTAACATTTTATATTATCCAATTTGGTTATATAAACTATGGCCTAAATTGAAAAACTGAACGTGTCATGACTTAAAATAGTACTTTTCTTTTTCGTTCTTTTTCATTGGCGGGCCCATAAGTTTTTAGAATGTGAGTTTACACCCTATTAAATTTATTGATATAATATAGTATTTTAAATAGTAAAATATGAATTTATTAAATAAAACAATAAAATTTTATTAATTTTCTACCGTATTTAATAATTTTAAAGCATTTAAAAAAACATTAATAAGAATTATAAGAATTGAAAAAAAAATTATAAGTTTTAATTAAACCATATCCATAATTTCAAAATATTTTAAGCTTATCGTTATACATAGAAAAAAAGGTTAATTTTTTTTTTTTTTTAAAAAAAATTATGTTGCATTTATTTAAAATTTAATTTATAATTACAAGTTTTCTATTTGTATTAAGATGAAATTCGTGTGATAACAAAATGATAAAAGTCTTTTTCTCTATACATTATTTACGATTTTTAAATTTTTTCCAATAAACAAAACCACCACCGATACCAAAGAGAATTAAGAAAAGAAACACCAATGAAACGATGAGAGCAACATTTGTTTGAGGTCTTCCAGGAGGTAAAGTAACATAAAACGGATCTTCTTTTGCATTAATAACTTGATAAGCCATTAAACTTTGAAAGGGAGCATTATAATCTAGAGCAACTTCAGATTGTTTATAATCCTTTCTATCATCTTTATACTTGTCATTTTTACCGGGACCACCTACAATACTTCCATAAAGAATGTGCATATTCTCACGTGGGTTATTTATATCGGTACCCCCATGTGCACCCGAATGATGAGGATCTTTAGGAGAATTTGGATGAACTCCTACAATATAAGGCGTCTTCATGGGATTATCTCCTAATAAGTAATTCATTTGTGATGTGGCAAACTTGATATAATTATCTTTCTTAGAATCGGACGAACTTAATGGGGCATATAATAGTGACACGAAAGCAGCATTTAATGCGGGATTCAAAGAAGCGGCATCACTGTCACCTTCACAAAAATATAATCCACCTTTCGTGAAACGACATGGATCGTCAGGAGATATTACAGCATCTAAAAATTTTTCTGCTTCACCTTTCCAAGTGTCGATATCATTCCTTTTTAATTCTATAGCACATTGTACAAATAAAATATATGATGCACAAGTTTTATCATCCCAATTAACCACATCAACTTGTCCAGATAATTTAAATTCTTTAAAGAAATTTACCGCATTATCAAAATATGTTGGATCTTTTGTTAATTTGTATAACCAAAGACTACTCCATACCAATTCATCTTTGTAACTATTTGAAGAATATAAGTCAACAGCCTCTTTAACGGATGTTTGATATGTTTCAAATGGTGTTTCGATTGCAAATTCGTATAATTGTTTAGCATGAAAAGATAATGTATTAGCGTAATCTACATCTTGTACTTTATCTTTAAAGAATAAAGATGCAGCTGCCATGGCAGCAGCCGCTTCCGCTGTTGCATCAGTTCCACGTGAAGAATTATTTACATTAAAAGAAGGCCTTGGTAATGGTATGCCAGTGTCAGGACCCCAATAATTATGATCGACGTCCGCTGTTCCTACCATAACATATAAAACTTCCGGTTCGGAGTGTGCCTTGATTAACCAATCAGTTCCCCATTTAATCATATCTCTTATTTGAGTAGCTTGCCCAGCAGTTTGATATCCTTCATACCATTCATAAGCACCCCACGATATTGATGAAAGGGTCCATGATAATGGAAAAGTAAATTTTAAATGATCTCCAGCATCATAATAACCTCCTTCTAAATCGACCTTTTTATCACTACCATCTTGTAATCCCGAGTCACCTCTCCAAGTTACTCGATTATCGGGAGGTAATTTTCCACTTCGTTGTGCCTCATAAAAATATAATGAGTATGATAATAATTTTGAGTATTCGTAATTTGTTTGGTCAGGGCTTGGTTGTGGAATACCTGGTATGTCTGTTGGTGCTGGTATCGCATAATTTTTCGAATCTTGCGCTAGTACTATTTTAATTACTAATGTTATAAATATGGGAAATAATAGGGAAATTTTATACATTTTCTATTTTTTTATTTTATTTTTTTTATTTTACTATGAAAAAAAAAAAAATTTAAAAATGATTAATAAAAATAAAGAGGACATATTTATAATAAAAAGTGCTTGCAATATTAAATCGTCATACCATGATACTTTATTTCCCCTTTTTCTTTATTATTATTATAATTGTATAAAAATAGCATTGATTTACGTATCCAAATTACTTGGCATTCCTCGGAAATATAAACGTAGGTAGAAAATACCATATTTAGGATATAATATAAATTATGTTTCACACAAACAAATTTATTTATAGTTATTAATGCGATTATTTGTATGGAAAAATCACCAATCATATTAGTTATTCTTATTGTATATCCTAATATGTTCATAAATCACACAATCATCTCTTTCATCAATAGGTGCACCATCCGAGTTGAGCTCTTTTATCAAGCATCCTATTAATCTTTTAAAACATTGATATATCTACTTTGGTAAAAATATCGGACAAATATTCATCTTTAAATAATCCTTTTTCAATGGCTCATCTCGCCCATAAATAAGCTTCTCTATATAAATCGAAAGGCTTCTGTGTGATTTTGTTATGCTGTAATAATGAATTGATAGTGCAGCATCTTGTGAGCTCTCATTATATATACCATTTAAACGTTTAATTTAAATTTGTTGCTTCTATAGGTAACTCAGAAATACCTAATCTATAAAATGCTCCACTGTAGCTAACGCTTAATTTCTATTTCTTTATTATTAAAATAAAGGTAATTATTTAGTAATGATTAAAAAGATCATTAGATCCCCCAAAAAATTCTTTAATTAAATCACTTACAGCTTTACGACATCCCCAACCATGTTCATAACACCAGCGCATCAATGTGACCATGTATATAAACGGAGGAAAATCTGTCAAAATTGGGGTTATTTTTTGAAGGACTACTTCGCAAAAATCATACATAATCTTTATTTTATACTTTAAGGAAAATGTCATCGCTGCAGCCTCTTCTGTTACTGCATCAATTCCATGTGAAGAATTATTTATACTAAAAAAAGTCTTTTAGTGTTGGACCGCAATAATTATTATCCCATTTTCTGTGCTATAAATTAACTAATCAGTTTCATATCTCTCTTATAGCTTTCGGTAATTTGATATCTTCATCCAATTGTGATAACGGAAATAATGGTCTCTTGTATCATAATCATAAAAATCTCTATATCCCAGTAACAAAGTTAATCGAAGGTAATTTTCAATTCGTTGTGTCTCATAAAAATATAAAAGTATGAATTGCAAATGTTATAATAAATATGGGTAAACATAAATAAAATGTATTAAATTTTCCTTTTATGGAATATTTATATTAAGAAAATGGTATTAAATCTTTATTAAAACAATGAAGTTCATATTTTCCTTTTCTTTATCATTCCAAAAAAAAAAAGAAATTCAGGATAAAAATTAAAAATAGAATTGCATTGACTTACATATCCATTTTACTTGGCGTTAGCCATAACGTAACCATATTTAGTCAATATTTTTCATCAACAATAATGTATATCACATATATTTTTTCTTTATAATGCGAATAAAAAACAATTATTTATGTGGATTAACTTTTAATATATCAATAAATTAACGATAAAATGGGATTTTTTTCGATACTGGGTTAACTGCACCCCATATTATTCTATTATCGTTTATCTCGATTATAATTTGAATGTTCATAATTAAATAAAATAAAATTTTGTTTTCGAAAAAATTGTCGTTTTTAAAAAAAAAAAAAAAAAAAAAATAAAAAATAAAAATAAACTTAAGAGATCACACAATCATCTCTCTTAGGTTTTTTTTCATCAATAGGAACACCACCTTTTAATCTTTGTTGAGCTCTTTTATCACCATGTTCAGCAGCACGACGATACCACTTATTCGCATCCAATTGATCTTTTTTAACACCGATACCTACTTCGGTAAAATATCCAACAGCATATTCAGCTTTAGGTAACCCTTTTTCGGCAGCTCTTTTCGCCCATAAATAAGCTTCTGTATCACTTTGTGGTAATATTCCCGGACTACCAACCAGATACCAAGCTGTTAAAGCGAAACAAGCGTCTCTGTGATCTTGTTGTGCTGCAATAGTATAATAATGAATCGATAGAGCGGCATCTTGTGTGCATCCCATTTTACCGTATTCATAGTATTCTCCTAATTTAAACGCTGATGGTGCATAATTTAAATTTGCCGCTTCTATAAGTAATTGTACCGCATATTCTATATCTACAAAACATACATTATCAATACCCTTCTCATGAAGTTCTGATAATTCATGTAACGCATGTGGAAATTCTTCATTCGCATTTTCTGCTGCTCTCTTGAGATATCTTACACCATCGCGAGGATTTTTGGCTAATCCTAATTCCCCCTTTAATTCAGCAATACCCAATCTATACAATGCTCCGGGATGACTAGCTGATGCTGATTTTCTATTACGATATTATTAAAGGAAAAATTCTTATTAGTATTATTTAATCCAAAAATAAAATAAAATAAAATAAAATTAAATTACTTGAAAAATTGTTCGGATTTTGCAAAATCTTTTTTACATCCCCAACCCTGTTCATAACAAACACCAGCGCGATAAGCAGCATCAGGGTGACCATGTTTACTAGATTGTACAAACAGAGGAAAGGCTTTGTCAAAATCAGGTTTATTCTTTGAAGTACCTATAGCACTTGCAAAGCAATCTGCAAGATAATATTGTGAATTAGCATGGCCTCTATCAGCTAATTTTCTTAAAAGAGCTAAACCTTCTTTAACTAGGTCGTCTCTTTTTTTTGCTTCTTCGTCGTTCATGGCTCTTGAAGCTTCTACCATAAAAGCCGCAAATTCAAATTGAAGGTCAGGATCATTCGTCTTTTTAGCATTTTGTCTGTATAGTTCTAAAGTTTGTGAATGAGACAATAACGAGGCTTTATGACCCGGTTTAAGATGAGATTGGTCTAATAACGGTGCTTCTGCTGGCATAATGTAAGATGAAGGTCTTGTATTATTATTATTATTATCTGCCTGTAAAGATGTCGGTGGTGTCACAAGAGTTGAAGCTGTAAGAGACATTAGAGGAGAGTAGATATATATATTAACTATTAACTATTAAATAGTAGTTACTCAAATAGAAAGAAAATTTTTTTTTAAGGTTTAATATATTTTTAATAGGCTTTGAAACGCAGCGGCGTCAGTTCGGGGCATAAAAATAGAATATTCAAGTTATATATATAATGTTATTTATATATATTATTGTAAAGAATGTGTTAAAAAAAGGAAGTTGTCGTGTGGTGTGATAGTATCCTCTTTTACTTGAAAAGGGAAAAGGTATAAAATCAAGAAGAGAGAGAAAAAAGTAATAATGATATAATGATACAATGATATAATGATATAATAATCACTTGTTACTCTTATTTATAATGAAATAAATCTCTGATATCGTAGCACACACATATGGATAAATAACTAAACGAAGGATGCAGCGGGTAAACAATGGTTCTAATTCCACGCACTTCCAATCCAAAGAATTGATGAAAAAAATCAATAAAATGCAAGATTATGCTTTCAACAAATTTTTTTTTTTTGTTTGGGCTATTAATAACAATTGTTTTACAACTTTTTATGTTAGAACAAAGACTTTATAATGTCCAAGGTTTTTTTTAAAAGAAAAAATATTATAAAAACAAATTTATTCTTTATAGCAATTTAATAAATACATTTGAAGAGGACGAGAAACAAAAGTTGATATCATTTCATTTGGGGGGGTTTTTTAAACGGATTATGATCGAAAATGTTCCTCAGGTTTTCTTTATGAAAATCGGTTTTCCATATTTAGAAAGGTTGATTAAAGCTTGTAACTATAAATCATGGAAATCATGAGATACTTCCTTTCTTGAAAAGAATTTACGTCAACTTGAACATTATTTGTGTAATTCGTTGATACAAATCAAGTATAAGTTTAAATTTTGTGAATCATAACATGGAATATAGTAATCTCAGATTTCATAATGACAAGTGATGACAACATAAACATACTTCTATGTTTACAAGTGTTTCACCATTTCAAGCCTTAAACTTTAAGGAAAGAAAAAATACAATTTATAATTCGTTAAAATTGAATTCACTCTTAAATATAATGTAATTGGTGCATTTTTATTTGATTACAAAACCAATGACTGAATTCAAGGTTAATTAAATAATTTCAATCTCTACATTTTTGAATAGGATTCATTGTTCTTTTTTAAATTCATCGTAATTTTGTTCAATTAAAACTTCTGCTTCCACGCCATTCAAATCTTCCTGGTCAACTTCATTTTCTGAAGAGGGTAAAAATTTATTCCATCGTTCAGCAAGAACCTTTTCACGTTGCATTAAAATCGGACTTATCTCTCTAATCAAGGCTTTCATAAACTGTGTATTGGCGATAAAAACGCTTAATCCCACAACTATAAAAATATATCGCCATGGAACAATCCATACCGTCAGACTGAGAAATGATAAAACAACTACAACAATCTGTGTGATTTTCAACGTTTCATATCCATTACTCCAATCCACATGTTTAAGTAAAGGAACAACTGTGTCATACCCATCTGAAATCATTCCCATCAGGTTTTGTATATTTTGCATATTCTTCAAATAATCTACCGAATTTTCTGGAGGAAGATAGGGATCGGTGTGCTTTGTATTTCTAAATCCCTTCTTTCTACCATCTTTTCCATTCTCGTTCATATTTGGTCCATCAGGATATCTTTTTTGAAAGTAGGAAATTAAGATTGAAAGCAATCCAATCAACGGTAAAAGTATCAACAATTGTGGGTATAAACCTAATCATGTGAATTTAAAATGAATTTAAAATTAGTAAAATTCAAAAATATTTTAAAATTATTGATTTTCATTAATACATACAAACATATACAAAGATAACCATGGATAATAAGGTATTTGGCGTATTTTTCCACATAATTATATCTTCAACAGCATTTTGAAGTTCAAAAATAAACCCACATTTCTGTACAAATTTTCGAAAATTATTAGTTGTCGTATTCAAATTCAATGGTGGATGAGCCGAATCGGATTGTGATTTAGAAGAATTGGAAATATTCATCACGGAAGAAACAATTAAATCTTGAATTACTTTTGTATCAAATGATGATTTAGTTGTTGATATTGGTTTTGCAGCCCTTGGAGCTGCGAATTGTGTTGCTTTGGATGATGAATTAATATTTGAAAGTGTTGCATAAGACTTTAAAGATTTATGAACTTTTGATTTAGGGGATTTTGATGAGTAATTTGTGATTGAATCCGCGGAATTAGAACGTCTTAATATCTTTCCAGATAAATTATGTTCCTGTTCTTGAGAAGAACTTTCCTCATTTTGATTTTTATCAAATGCAACTTTAATTTCTGGGACTGATTCGGATGCTGTATGATTGGATCTTGTTCGTTGAATTGGTATAGGTTCATTTTGATGAATATTTGGTTCGGATTTTATGGACTCGGAAAAATTATATACTCTGTTACTGGGTATCGAACGGCTCGCAGCAAGAGAATCGGAATTACTATGAAACGGCGCTTCGGATTTTCTACAATACTTGCTTGAAAATTCTTGACAACCAGTATGTGAAACATAACCACACACTAATTATTTATTTTTTTTTTTTATAAAATAGAATTATGATCATTCTTTTTTAAACCAGTTTCAAGATAAATTGATTTTCGCTAAAAAAATCTTTCGCTTTGTTTTCTTTTGAATTATTGATATTTACCTCGACAACAAACGCCTTGCTTAATCAACCCCCATAGTATTTTATTGCAATAGTCACAATAAGTTGGTTTTGAAAAGGTTGTTTCTTCGAAATCGTGGGGCAAAGCGAACGACATTTACTAATTTTTGATATATATATATTTTTTTTTTTACACCAATTATTTTATACACATGTATATATATATAATATATATCAAATTTTTGGGCGTTTTTAAACATTTGATTATCTGATGACATTTATTAGGTAAAGTTGTACGGACGGGTTTCTGGTCTAACCTTAAACCTGGATCTTATGATCAACCGCAGTCTGAACCGTTTCTAGTTCGCGTTTTACCTCCCGTAAAAAAATGAACATTCATTTTACAAATCTACTCCTTTCTCTTTTATCATTAATAAACTAAAAAAATAAACCATTTATGCCGACTCAATTTTCGGAAAAAACGCGTCAAATTAGAACTTCGCGTCTTATAAAAATCATCAATGGACGTATAGTTCGCGATCATAAAATTATCAATGATGATGTACTTTATATATACGAAGGAAGGATTATTGATCCACAAAATCATTTTTTTACTTACGGTAATTCACCCGATACCGTTATAAACGCCAAAGGATTATTGATCGCTCCAGGATATATTGATATACAAATTAATGGTGCCTTTGGGGTAGATTTTTCTGTATGGAAAAACGATAAACAAATGAAAGAAGGGTTGGATAAAGTTGCGAAAGGTTTACTGAAATATGGTTGCACCAGTTTCGTTCCTACAATTGTTAGCTCTGCAAAAGAAATTTATCACAAGGTGAATGACTAATTATAGTCTCATCTTATTGTATTACCGAACTGATTTATTACTCCAATTCTAAGGTATTGCCATTGATCCAACCGCGTAAAGGCAATAAAGAAAATGGTGCAGAAGTTTTGGGTGCTCATGTTGAAGGACCTTTTATTACACAGAGTCAACGTGGAGCTCACGAAGAATCTTTTCTTAGAACAGCTCCAAACGGCTTTAATGATTTTATTGATATGTATGGATTGAATGACCATGCGATAAAACTCATAACTGTGGCTCCCGAAGTTGAGGGAACTTTAGACAGTTTGGAAAGATTAATAAATTTTGGTATAACCGTTAGCATAGGTATTCTTTTTATATGTATAGTTAAGAGTTTATAATAACTTGTAAGTGAGGAATATCTTCAAAAAAAAATAACTTTTATTCTTTTTCAGGACATTCCTCAGCAACTGTGGCTCAAGCAGAATTAGCGATTGAAAGGGGGGTAGGCAACATTTCATTTATGAATTGATAAAATTTTTTGATCATATTTTATATATATTTATTTTTCATACTTTTGAATTTACAAGGCAAAGTGTATCACGCATTTATTCAATGCTATGCAGCAGGTAAATTCGGCTTACTTTGAATTGCTCTTATTTTTACAAACTATAATCACATTCCCTCTGCTTCGCATAGTTTCATCATCGCGATCCTGGTATAGTTGGCCTGTTAGGCACCACGCGAATAGCGAGACCATTTTATGGCATTATTTGTGATGGCATTCATGTACACCCGAATTCAATAAAAATTGCCTACGATTCACACCCGAGGGGTGCTATTCTTGTCACCGATGCGATGTCAGCGATGGGTCTCCCTCCCGGTAAGTATCACCACTTTTTATATTGGGTTCTCAACAAACTGAAAATTTTGATTTTGAGGTTTATATAAAAATGCGAAAAGAACTTGATTTTTAATTGAATAATTCACGGTACCTCACTTTCCTAACATAAACTCATAAGTTCAGTATTAATCGTGTTTCTTATTTATTCCTTTAAAAGGAGAATACTCTTTAGGTGGGATTCCGGTTCGTAAAAGTGGCAATGTAAAAGTTGAAGTGATTGATAATGGTAAATTAGCAGGATCTGTAATTACTATCGATGATTGTGTCAAAAATTTTAAAAATTTTACTGGATGTAGTGTAATTGAAGCAATTGAAGCGGTCACTTTGCATCCAGCCGAACTTTTAAACATTCAAAATGTTAAAGGAACTCTTAATGTAGGGGCAGATGCAGATTTAGTTTTCTTGGATGATGATCTCAACGTTGTCAAATGTTTTATCGCGGGAGAAGAAGTTAGCATATCCTAGATATAAAGGAATGTATTTTAATAATAACTATATCTATCACGTAAATAAATTGAAGAATTTTGATCGTTTAAAGTGTTTATTATTAAAAATCATAAAGTATAAGAAAAGAAAAAAATAAAAATCAAGATATATTAAAAAAAAAGCTTCTTTGGTTGCCAAAATTGTGAAAATTTCAATGAATATACACGAGATCAAAAGAGATGTAAAGACCGTTGATTAAAAGTTTGTTGTCATAATTATCACATGCGTTTTTTACAAAGATTTAGCAGCAATGTATTGCCGATATAAATATTTCCTGATTTTGATCAATCTTGAAAATTATAAAATATTCTTTTATTAATAAAAATGAAAATAAAATAACTTTTTATTAAAGAACAAAGATGGTCCTATTACCGATCAAATTATTAAAGACAAATGGGTTGTCACTTAAACAGAATCGTCATGGAAAGCCCATTGAGTTAGTTTAGGAGACGCTTTGGCGGTCTTCACATAATGACTGTTGTCCGGAGGAGGTTCTTTGCACGTACAACTCGATAACATTGATTGTATCGAAAGGCAAACAGAACGAACACTCAAGACTGGGCTCCATTGATTATATAAGACGTTTAAGCATATATGACCATTGGTGTAAATGTGTGGGTGTGTTGGTATATCACCTATGAAAACGACTTCAGGAGATTCCATGGGATAGTTAGGACTAAACCGAAATTCCAAAGTGAACCGTTCACCAGCGTATAACGTTCCATCCACACCATCAAGGGTTAACTTCCAGCTTTTAAACGTGTCTGCTTCAATTACTTCAATTCCTGCCGGTGGGTTAATTTTAAGATCAACTAATTCTTTGGATAGTCGTTTTGTAAATAATGCAGACATGGTTTTTTGATAATTAATGAAGGTTATTCATATTACTTTTATAGTGTGTTAGAATTTACATTTTTGGGCATGTGAAACTATCAATCATCATATATAATAATGAATGATGATCAGTGGTGGATCGAATTATCCTTGTTTCCGAAATTCCTTAATTGCATTTAAAATATTAAACGAGTAAAAAAATGAGTTCAAAATCTGATCATGATACTTTAGTTGAAATGGGATTTCCACCTGATAAAGTGTAAGTAAAAAAGTTTGATTTCGTGAACTATTGAAATTCACCTTAAACAAATATATATATATATATAACGTAGGGCACGAGCCTTTCAAGCAACCAAAGGAGCAGGTTTGCAACCTGCAATGGATTGGTAAGCAAAAATTGCTCCAAAATTGTAAATCTTTTTTTCGTACGTTATTTTCATAATATTATTCATCATATGTTGTCTCATTAATAAGGTTACTTTCTCACCCCGGAGACCTTGACGAACCGGCAGGTGGACAATCTTTAGGTGGACAACCTAGTGGAGAAGCATCAGGAAGTGTAGCGATAGCTTCGTCTTCTGGATATAGAGATCCGAGTTTAGACGGAGAAATTCAAGATGGAGAACAAACAGCACAATCATTAAAATGTGATGATTGTCAAAAATTGTTTCGCGATGGTAAAGTTTATTAAAATATTTTTTTGTTTATTTTTTTCTTTTGCATTTCTTTTTTAGATAATTTATCTTTCTCCCTACAATTGAATTTACCGAACTTAATAGGAGTTGCTGCGGAACGTCACGCATCCAGATCAGGTAAAATTTAATCACAAAATTCATTCAAAATTCGAGATAACTTAAATGAATATGAAATTTTACGTAGGACACGTAAATTTTTCCGAATCAACAACCCCTATCAAGCCACTTACAGAGGAAGAGAAGGTGGCTAAACGCGAAGAGCTGAAGAGAATTTTAGCCGAAAAAAAGGAATTGCGCCTTCTTCAAGAAAAGGAAGAAGAGAAACGTCGGGAAAAGGTCCGAAGAAAGACAGGTAAAGATTTAACCGAAGCTAAAGAAAAGTTGGAAGAAAAAGAAATGCAAAAGATATTGTTGGCTAAAAAGAAGGAGAAAGAAGAAGAAAGGCTAGCAAAGGCTAAAATAAAAGCACAGATTGAAGCTGATAAAAAAGAACGTACGGCCAAAGTAATGTGTAAATTCTTATTTCTTTATGATTACATGATTACTTTTTGAAATTAATTCCGACATATTTGTATATAGCGTGAAGCTGCTAAACAGGCGGCCCTCGATGAACAAAAAAAAGAAGCTTCTGAATCCTCTCTCGCCCCAAAAGAATATACCGAAGCACGATTGCAGGTTTAATATTATTCATTCATATAAACTTATGTAAGTCAACCATTTGCTTCATAATTTATTCATATCATTGAATCTCTCAATGCAGATTCGACAACCTTCAGGTTCTCCTATTATTCACACTTTTCAAGCTACGGATACTTTGGAAGTAGTATATGAGCTTGTTGGGCAGCACGTTCCCGGATCTTTTAAATTGATGACAACTTTTCCAAGGTTACTAGAATTCAACGAAATACAAGTAAATTATTTTATCTTCAGCTCTAACATGTATGATTTTGTTGCCTTGTAGAAAAATTCTTGATGGTGATGAACGGAACAAAACTTTAAAGGAATTGAGTAAGTACGAGAATATATGTGGGGTGAGCTCTGGAAAAGGTGACCAAATTGAAAATTTTTATCAAAAATTATTTCCAAAGTGCAAGTTTTGATTGATCATCTGGTTCAGAACATTTATTACCTAAAAATTTTGGGGGGGGGGTGGAGAGGATTTTCTCAGCATTCGCCTCATATTATTTCAGGTTTATATGTTCTTTCCTAACATGCAATTTTCATTTATAGGTCTCGTTCCATCAGCAGTTTTGGTAGTCTCAACATAACAAGGGTAACATTGTCTTTTTTTTTTTGGAAATCATGAATCATTATTATAGCAAGATTTTTTCTATCACAAATTTCATTTATTCACGTATTTCCTTTATAAATTATAAAATGTTTATAATTGATCTTTAAATCCTTTTACCTTAATTATAATATAAATATAAATCTAATATGAAAAAAACCAAAATAATAATTACATGTCGATATTGTATACAATGATGCTAAAAAATGAATGCTATGAGATTTTCTACGAATACATTGAACGTTCAATTTGTGTAAATAAATCTTCCATAAAGTCCATTCTATATAATAAATAATGCCCACCACCTTCAATTACATTAAGTTCAATATTATTCATTCTATTATTCATGTACATCCAAGCTTGAATCGGAACATTTTCATCAATGTCTCCGACAAACGCTTCTATTGGATAAGACGTTTCCTCATACGAATAACCCCAACTCACTTTTTCTAATGCTACCATCGCATCACAATGTGCGCCCGTCCTATTTTGAAGATTCCATAACCCATTTGCATATATTTGTTGATGAATGTAACTCCTTCCGGGTGAGATTGCAAATGCTATGTTTGAAACATCTCCAATGTCATCGTCATCATCCGACGTTGTAGAAGTGGAGGTTGAGGTTGATACACGTTTTGGTGATTTTACAGGGGAGGAACCTAATGTGCTCCACATATTAAAAAAATTGTTCATATGTGGAAGCGTGCTCAAAGTTGTACGTATTAAAAAATTTGGTGCGTATCTAGCAATTCCTTTATACATGGTTGAAGTTCCTGGTGTTTTGACTGAAAGCCAAGGGGAAACCATAAATATTGGTCCTTTTAACCTCTCTGGAAAATTTAAAGAATAAGCCAATCCATAAACTGCCCCTAACGAAAAAGTTGCCAAACCGAATTGCCACATTCTTAATATTAAAGTTAATTCATTAATCATATCAGCAAATTCGAAAAGGTCCGGAACTCCGGGTTCAGAATATATATCGTCACTAGAATTATATCCAGGGCGGTCAACGCATACAAAACGTATACGATGTCGTTTGGCGATATTATGATATAAGAGGATTGAAAGTGCGGGTCCCATATTACCTTTAATAAAGGAGGAACAAAAGAGGGGGAATGATGATGATTATTATTATTGACAACATATAGGTTTGTTATCTATTTTTCGAAATAAATTTATGAATACTAACCTGTGAACCAAAGAACAGGGTACCCATTGGGATCGCCACATTCGACCACACCAACCTTTTTACCACAACTTGCAAGTGTAATAATTTGTCGAGAACGAGGACTATTCAATAACTGTTTTGCCTGCTTCAAGGTCATATTATGTACATACATATCCTCGTTATCTGAATAATCACTTTGAGACGAAATTCTATCCGACATGTTTTGAGGGTAATATTTTTTTTATAATTTATAAATTATAAAAAAAAAAAAAAAAAAAAAAAGTATGTACTTATTATATAGAGAAATGGATAATAAGGGAGTGGTTGATAAGGTAGAGGAGAACAATATTTTAAACCTGATACGGGAATTCTATGCAGAATATGAATGCATTTCCGCGTGCCTTCAGCGGCTCAATGTGCTCAATTCGGATCACGTTTTTGTTTTATCATTTAATTGGAATGACAATTGTTTGTTTATTAACCTGTAAAAAAACCGGTTTTTTTTAATACAAACTTTAAATGACCATTGTATATATTTAAACTTGAATTTTTAAATATGATTGAATCAAATATATTTCGTGTTGCAACTTTTAACGTACGCTTTGATAATAATGATGTTCCTACCACTTCTGTAAATAAGGTTTCATCAATTGTAACTCAAGGCGAAACCCCATGGCAGGTTAGACGAGTTAAAGTTGCCGACACAATACTTTTTCACAGAATTGACCTAGTTGGTTTACAGGTAAAGAAACCTTATTTTCGAAACAATTCTTTTGTGTGTGTAATGAACCATGTTTATTAAATTAGGAAGCTTTGTATAACCAAATCAAAGATTTGGAGCTTTTGCTTGGTTCTAGTTGGGGTTGGATAGGAGTTGGAAGAGATGATGGGAAGAAATCAGGAGAGTTTGTGCCAATTTTTTATAACAAGTAATTATTATGTCCAACTAATTTTGTCTTTTAATTCCAATTTTTTTTTTTTTTTTTTTTTTAAACGACTAATATTTTTAAACCATAGAAATCGATTGAAATTATTGGATTCTAAACATTTTTGGCTCTCAGAGGTTATTTTATTTCTATTTTTATATATGTATTTTACCTTTATAACGATCAATCATATGTTTTATGATTACAGAACCCAGATATTCCCGGTAGCATAGGCTGGGACGCCGCTCTTACGCGTAAGTAGTTTTACAAAAAAAAAAACATTCCTAAAAATGTAACGTAATATTAACTATGTTTCTTTTATATATGTAGGTGTTGTTACTCAAGCAAGGTTCTTTTTTTTTTAATACTATCAATCTTATTTATTTATATCTACTTCTTTAATCGACTTCATTTATCCTTTTACAGATTCCAAGATTTATTGACAAATACTACATTTGTTTGGATCAATACCCATTTTGATCACTTAGGAACAAAGGCTCGATTAGAAAGCTCTAAATTGTTATTGAACCATGCTCGTAAATTAGCTTCATCAAGTTCACCAACACTAAAAGTGTTTTTATCGGGCGACTTTAATTGTGAAGAAAGCGCTGAGCCTTATAAATTACTTACAGGAGTAAAGCATCAAGATATTAAATCAAAGGATCAAGAATCTATTACGAATTTGTCCACTATGATTTTCGCCGATACTCGTTATGAGATTAATGGTCTTAAAGGAGGATCATTTGGCTTTTCGAAAACTTTTACGGGATTTTCAAAAGATACGAAACAAGAAAGGATTGATTTCATCTTAGTTGATAACATTAGCATTTCAACACGAGCTGTCGGGGTGATCAGTCATGGGGTGGTGTCGAACCTTTACGATGAAATGTATATTAGTGATCATCGTCCGGTTATTTCTGACTTGCTCATTCGTTAAATAAAAAAAGTTGAAAGAATTGATTTCCGTAATATAGATTTTTTTCAAATCATATAATTTTTATTAACATTATTATCCATTAATGATAAATATTTTTTTAATTATTTTTAATATAATACAAAATAAATATTTTTATAAAATAAAAAACATTATAGATTTTGGAATACGGATCATATGACTTTAATAGGGGGTCTGAAATGACGTTATTAAAACTTTAAAGAAATTTTGAACCCCCCTCATCCATTTAAGGAATATAATTATTTTATAATAAAATTTGTGAACCGTCATCATGAATTGTCCCCTTTTAAAATGACGTCTTTCTGACAACGTTCCCAAATTTAAAATTGCTTTTATTTATTAAGTAAAATCCTTAGCATTGAAGAGATAGTTTTAACAACATCCCCGTACAATGATTTTTCATTTCCTATGTCCTAATTATGCGTATAATATTATTCACAAAATGGATAGTAAATTCGATCCTGAGGTTAGTAATAATTACAGACAGAAAATGAGTTGTGACCTGTAATGTACATTCACTTTCGGTATAAACTAAGTAGCCAGCGATCCATAAATTGCATAAAAGCGCAACTTCAGCCCTGCCGCTGCAGAACAATTATAATCTCAATGTCACCAAAAATCAGATTCAATTTAATTAAATTTCTCATTAATATCATGAAGAGCCATTCCAATCCTCCTCTCGTACCAATTTTACCGGCAAAAGGAAGTCTACCCGAGAAGAACATTTTGTTATTGAACCTAGATCTATTCCGATCAAGATCAATTGGAAGAGATTTCCCCAAGTGTATTAATGATCAACAAATCGATGGATGGGCATGTACATCATATCCTCTGATTTGTTGTCTTTATTGTGTCGCATCAATAACACATAGCTTATATGGGAAGCTGATTGATTTTCGCGATCTTCTTCGTTTGTATTCGGAACATTACCAACTGGTTTTAGGAGGTTTGGCGCTTATTGTGACTGTTCGGTCAGCACTCCTCGCGGAATTCTTTTTGATTAAGTGCATGTAATGTCTGTGACGTCATCTCTATTTCGCCTCTTGTGAATCGAGTGTCTTGTGTATAAACTATAAATGGAACAATTATACCTATTATTGACTTTTGTCATTATTTGTGGTGGTTCTTGCATATACTTTGCTTCGCAGCTCAAACATAGTGGATCCATGCACGATAAATGAAGTTTAGGTAGGAGATTCTTAATTTCGCACCACAGCGTATCAAAATCTTACTTGTGATAGCTGCATTTTTCCCCAGATCGTACGAGATATCTTCAAAATAATGTCTCGTACTGAGCTTCCATTTATATCATCATTCATGTCCTGATATTTATATTGCAATGACAGTTAGATGGTCTCTACAAAAATCGAAGCTTGTGCAAGCGCAAAATGATACTTACCGGTTCGTAAAATTTTCCATATCATTAACTTGGAAAATAAATGCACCTTCATTATCACGGCCGATATCACAACATTTTCTTCATTAAATGTCATTTCCTCATCGATACTAGAATTGAAAATGGTGGATGTTGTATCCTCGCAAAAAAAAGAAAAGAGATACTGCATCAAAAGTAGTAGCAATAATTATAGAATAACGCGTCATTTACTAACCTTGAGATCATTTTCATAAACTCAAAAAGATCGTATAAGCAGCACCTGATGTTGATGTCGTGACTTGGATATCGCCATACGACCCTTTGACATTGATTCTGCCCCGTTATCGTAAGTAAAACAGTGGCCTCTTTGTAGAACAGAAGCAATTAAAATAAATGTTAGTTGGAGGAATTAGCAACTGAAAAATATCCTAAAGCTCACCCTTTTTATCAAAATAGCACAATATCAAGCAGGGATCCAAAGTTTCTCAACGATAATTCAACAACGGAAAGGAGACGACCAAGAGTAATACAGCTAGGCGTATCAGGAATAATTTTCTTAATTCTATTTCATCAATTGAAATTAAAATAAATATATATATATTCAAACAATTTTTATTCTACAATTTATTTATTCATAGTAAATAGATTTTAAAAAATTCCCATCATGTTCAAGTTACAACTTTATTGTTATTGAAAACCACGAATATATAGAGAAAAAATTTACACAAATAAAGGACGCAAAGATTAAGATCCTAAACGAAACGAACTGGCAAATATAATAGTACTTGTTCGCTACTAGAATCACACTAGTACCCAGGTTGCACGGCGAGGACGTCAGTACTTATCGCAACCCAAAAAAAAAATGTGCTCTCATCTACCAAGCAAAATTACCAGTCTATCTAACCCACAATCCAACGATGCAAGGAGAGAGTGCCTTTGGGCAGGGTTGGGAATTTTTATATGTACTAGATCATTATAATGTACTAACTATACTAACTGTACTAATCATTGTACTAATATTGTATTTTCCAACCCTGCTTTTTGTTTCTATCTAAAATTTATTTTTATTTTTTTTATTATATATATATTTCCCTCTGCCATGCCCCAAGATATTCCTTCTTGGGCGGTTTGTTTCCCAGTTCTGTCTCTTCTGGGCGTTTGGTACCCAGTTATCCGTTCTGGAAGTTTGGTGACCAGTTTCTATCTGGTGAAGTTCTTTGACCATAAAAGGAAGGTACATAACCAATCCCTCCTCCAGAACCAGTAGACCTTTTACATGCTGCTTTTCAAAGAACTCCTGTGAAAAAAAAGTTTATATACATGGGTAATAAAATATAAAGGTTTTTATTCATATGTGGAGGGGGGACACAAAAACAGAATGTGTCTTGCGAAAGACTGGGAAAGATGGAGAGAGAACAGGAACAGGATAAGTTAAAGGGAAAAAAAGGATAGACGAACAGAAAAGAAGAGAAGAGTTCGAACTAAAAAAAAAAAGAGAAGGGAAGGATTTTTTTTTGAAATACATGTACCCAAAATTTATATACCATTAAGAAAAATCATATCGTGTGTTATAGATAAAAATGATAAACACACATGAGACGATATATTGATCAACCAATCGAAATCGTGATAATTGCATAAAAGCACGTGATTTTGAAATTTGATCATAAAAATGTATAAGGCGGAACAAACTAATATTATTGGTTTTCATATCAAAATTGGCTTCATGTTGACCCCCGGATTTTTACAAAAATTTCATATATTAAAAAATTTTCTGTACTGCGCATTTATAATATAATTGACTTTAATAAATGAGAATTATTTATTAAGTTTAATGATTTTTAATAAAGATAAAATAATTTCTGTTTTCTACTCAATAAGTTTTACCATAAATGATAACAAATATGAAAAAACGAAATGGTTAGTTAAATTGTTGAATTGGCTAACCAATAAGATATCATTTACATAATCATTAATTAACAATTTTATAAATCAAATTAGTTATTATATAATAATATAGACCTTGCATTATAAATTATTAGCGAATTAAAAGAATTTCATATGATAATGATTTCCTCTTTTGACTGCGCCCCTTAATGTAAAACTCAAAACAGATTTTTATCATGCAAATTCAATAAAATTGTGTACGTGAGCTATAAAAAAAGGAGTAAAGAAACAAAATAGAATAAACTTCTTCTTAACTTTAAACCTACCTTTTCATTGACCTTCAACAAATATACCATTTGCAAATATTCGCATCTCTAAAGGATCATAAGTTCTTCATGGATAGTATATCTATCCTATTCCTTATAAAATGACAATAAAAGATTTTTTTGTAAAGCTTATATCTAAAGAACTTATCTTTCAAGTGCAATATTGCTGTGACAAATTCTGAAGTACTAAATTATATTGAGATGAATAAAACACTACAATCCAAGTCAGTCTTAATTGTAACATTATAGAACTTACAAAAAATATAGGAATACATATATATTATCGACTTAAAATCGATAATGATACAACTTCTAATATGGAATCACAACAAAATGGCCTTATAATACTGATGCTAAATGCATGCTGAACTCAGTTGTATTTACCAGCTTTTTTACAATCAGATGAAATAAATTGTAAACTAACATTACACAATGATCTTGTTGATTGGATTCACAGTAATGGTAGAAAATGATCTACTCAATTATATGCTAATACATAAGGAAACAATTTATTATTAGCTTGACTGAGACAATTTGGTATGTTGATATGCATAATCACCAGAAATTTGAAAAATATAGTTATCACATACCTGTTGAGTTTTTGGTCACGTAGATCTAGAATTATATAAGCAATCATAAAAAACCTTTGATGCAAATGAACTTAATTTGTATTGCTAAGCTCTTGCTCTATACGTTACATCATTATAGATGTTAATGGAAAATTTCAATTGGCTCTATAATGTATTTGATAGTTTCATTATTGCTATCTCAAATTATATCAGGTTTCTGTAATGCCAATGCAATATTACTGCTATAAATCATGCATCAAAAACTTTTATACAAACCATTGACCAAGCCACAATAATCAAAATCTATAAGCAAAATGTTTAGGTGACAGCTGTTGATAAATCCAAATATTATCATCTTTAATAATTGCTTACTGATTTACCACCATAGAAGCCAGTTGATATTGAAGAATACCTACCAATCAATCCTATATAAGTAGATAAAAAGAATATTTAAAGATATTAATATAAATAACCAAATAACTAATGAAATAATTTGCATTACAGCCAAAGAATATGTTATATCCAGAATTTATCTCATGCATTTTCCTTTAAATTGGAGAATACTGATTTAATTCTGGTAACAATGCTTTTAACGCAATCTCAATATGAAAAATTGATAATCAAGCTGATGAAATAATAATGATATAAGAGAATAAGCAAATTGTAAATGAATTGCAAGTTGAAGTACCTCTTTTCATATAAAAATAATGCAAAATAATTATATACATACCTTTGATCTACTTCTTTCAAAAGCTAAGCCATCAATACTTTAAACAATTTATCGAATGTTAACAGGCGACACCTCTACAGCTGAGACTTCAAATCAGAAAAAATAGATAAGCGTATTTTAGAACTTAGGGATCCAAAAATTACTGCTAATCTATGTAAACATAATAGTAAAAGACCCGATAAATATGATGTCTTTTAGAAATCGCAACTCAGTTTCTTGCAGGAAAAGTAGCAGATGCTATAACTGCTGTGGATGAACATAGGCATGATATAGTTGTACATCTTGCAACTGCAATCTCAGTAAATGATCTTCTACATAAAATTGAACATGAATGTTCACCTGAAACACCAATTCCTAGTGTGCAATAGTTATGATTGCAGTTTTAGCCCAAAAATCTAACACAATTTAGTAGTTTGCAATTTACCAGTCGGTTACCTCTAAAATTCATGGTTTAAATATGACAATTACGAGTTTACCATCAAGATGTTTATTACACATCAGCATTATTTCACTACAAGAAAGAATTTGCTATAAAATTTCGTAATATCACTAATCTGGTCTTTTTAGATGATAAACATCGTTGCAAATTTAAAGAGCTTAGATTTCCAGTTGTTGCAGTAGAAAGGGGAAAAAGAGTTGTAGTCAATAAGAACACTAGATTTGCAGTTGCTGATCATAATTACACTAAATTAGGAATTATACCAAGTGTAATAATAGAATGAAATATACCCAAATTAATTAATGGTGATTTCTATACAGGAAAAGTACATATTAGGTTAAAAGATCCAATTTTTTAGCCTTCTTCACCTCTTCATCATGCAATGGAATTGTATGATATACTTTTTAATAAAAAGCTTATAAACAAACATGTGTTATGTCTTTATACAGATAGTGGACCTGATCATCATTGCACATATGCTCATGTCTAACTCTCATATATTTGTCTTTTTCTTGCATTAAATTTTGATTATTTTATTACTGTTCAAACTCTACCACAATATTCATAGAAAAATCCTGTTAAACATATTATGTCAATCTTGAATTTAGGATTACAAAGCGTTGGCTTAATATGATCTAGAATGAATGAAGAGTCAAAAAAATTGTTAGAAAAATGTAATATAATGAAGGAAATTCATAAAATTGCTGAAGAAAATTCTAATTTGAAAAAAAAATTAGCTGCAACCCTTTAAGATCTGATTTGTTTGGTCAGTAATGCATTTAACCGTCAGTCTCTCAAAGGCAAGCTTTTTGAAATCTTTACCATAGCATTAGAAATAGAAATGGAGAGATTCTGGAAAATGATCCAGCTTATAAATGATAACGTTACTTATAAAGACCATACTGCAGAACATTTAAAATGAAGGGTAAGAAAAGTTTTAATTAGATTACTTGTGCAAAAAAAAAATAAAAAAAAATAAAATAACAAACGTATCTTTATTTAAAGCCGCATTTTCAAGAATTTTTGAACTATTGCTGTATGACAAGACATACTTTTTTTCAATCAAAAAATGTGGTGAATCAACTTGTACCATTTGTTGTTCTCCTCGTTGTTTCCAGAAGACTTTGAGCAATTATATCATCTTCTAGACCTGATACCTAGAGAAGACTCACATTATGAGTTATTTGAAAAGCTATATGGTAAGCAAACAATGAAAGATCATAGACCTTTGCTTAAGAATGCCAAGATGAAAAAAAAGGCAACATAAAAATTAAAAAAACAAAATATAATAAGCCATTTTGCCCTTCTGCTGCACGCGTAAAGAATGTTGGTATTATTGTAAATTGTGTTGAGTGTGAGAAGCTGTGTCTTTTTTTA